AAAAAGCTTGGACTGAGTTTTTATTTGAACTGGCTGGTTAAAACGACTTTTAAATACGTTAAATAAAAGTATAAAAGCGGCGAAAGGCATACGGCATACGGCATACGGCATAAGGCAAAAAGTTGTGGCAAAAGCAAAAAGTTGTTGACGAGGCCAACAACACGCGGTGTTCCCAAGCGGTCCCCCATCTAAGTACTAACCGCGCCCGACGCTGCTTAATTTCGGTGATCGGACGAGAACCGATGTGTTCAGCGTGGTATGGTCGTTGGCGAAAGTCGCAGGGCTTAGCGTTGGCCTTATACTCTGATTTTCGGTCCTGCCCAGATGCAGATACAGCCATTTGTTTCTATTCACACCTAGCACAAGCCTTAGGAAAATAATGGAAACGCTTTTATTAGTAATAAAAACATTGGAAAGGTTTTGAACGTATCGCTGTGAAAAGCAGTGCAAGAAGTAATTTTGGAATAAGCGACAAAAGCTTGGACTGAGTTTTTATTTGAACTGGCTGGTTAAAACGATTTTTAAATACGTTAAATAAAAGTATAAAAGCGGCGAAAGGCATACGGCATACGGCATAAGGCAAAAAGTTGTGGCAAAAGCAAAAAGTTGTTGACGAGGCCAACAACACGCGGTGTTCCCAAGCGGTCCCCCATCTAAGTACTAACCGCGCCCGACGCTGCTTAATTTCGGTGATCGGACGAGAACCGATGTGTTCAGCGTGGTATGGTCGTTGGCGAAAGTCGCAGAGCTTAGCGTTGGCCTTATACTCTGATTTTCGGTCCTGCCCAGATGCAGATACAGCCATTTGTTTCTATTCACACCTAGCACAAGCCTTAGGAAAATAATGGAAACGCTTTTATTAATAATAAAAACATTGGAAAGGTTTTGAACGTATCGCTGTGAAAAGCAGTGCAAGAAGTAATTTTGGAATAAGCGACAAAAGCTTGGACTGAGTTTTTATTTGAACTGGCTGGTTAAAACGATTTTTAAATACGTTAAATAAAAGTATAAAAGCGGCGAAAGGCATACGGCATACGGCATACGGCATACGGCATAAGGCAAAAAGTTGTGGCAAAAGCAAAAAGTTGTTGACGAGGCCAACAACACGCGGTGTTCCCAAGCGGTCCCCCATCTAAGTACTAACCGCGCCCGACGCTGCTTAATTTCGGTGATCGGACGAGAACCGATGTGTTCAGCGTGGTATGGTCGTTGGCGAAAGTCGCAGGGCTTAGCGTTGGCCTTATACTCTGATTTTCGGTCCTGCCCAGATGCAGATACAGCCATTTGTTTCTATTCACACCTAGCACAAGCCTTAGGAAAATAATGGAAACGCTTTTATTAATAATAAAAACATTGGAAAGGTTTTGAACGTATCGCTGTGAAAAGCAGTGCAAGAAGTAATTTTGGAATAAGCGACAAAAGCTTGGACTGAGTTTTTATTTGAACTGGCTGGTTAAAACGATTTTTAAATACGTTAAATAAAAGTATAAAAGCGGCGAAAGGCATACGGCATACGGCATAAGGCAAAAAGTTGTGGCAAAAGCAAAAAGTTGTTGACGAGGCCAACAACACGCGGTGTTCCCAAGCGGTCCCCCATCTAAGTACTAACCGCGCCCGACGCTGCTTAATTTCGGTGATCGGACGAGAACCGATGTGTTCAGCGTGGTATGGTCGTTGGCGAAAGTCGCAGAGCTTAGCGTTGGCCTTATACTCTGATTTTCGGTCCTGCCCAGATGCAGATACAGCCATTTGTTTCTATTCACACCTAGCACAAGCCTTAGGAAAATAATGGAAACGCTTTTATTAATAATAAAAACATTGGAAAGGTTTTGAACGTATCGCTGTGAAAAGCAGTGCAAGAAGTAATTTTGGAATAAGCGACAAAAGCTTGGACTGAGTTTTTATTTGAACTGGCTGGCCAAAACGCTTTTTTAATTTTTTTCAACTTAATTTTTGATGAAATCTTACAATTGCAATGCATCAGTTTTCACATGACTAGTTTGGCTTCACAATAGCATCAATTAAGCCAATTTAAAGTTGGCCATCGTAAAAATTCCAATGTCAGTGCAAACCTCATAAATCAGTCGAGTAGTTTCGCTCCCTTCGAAATTCTTGGAAAAAGGCGACGAACTATTCACGAGTCCCCACTCTGCCAGCAGCTAAATATTTCACTGGCTTACGTGTCTATTTCGGAAGGGGTAGCTCCAGATCCACAACCCTCCGTTTCAGCCCCCTCCCACCCCGAAGATGTCATGCAGGATGGGCGTGGTGGGGGCGGGTCAGTTGACGCTGTTGTTTTCATAAGTTGTTGCCATTGTTGTTGCCGCTGCTGCATTTGTTTTGGCATGTTTATTGCACTGTCAACGGCAATGCATGAAAAGTTTTAGTTAGCCAAGTTAAGTTGTTGCTGGTGACAAACCCTCTGCGTGCAGGACCCGTATTTGCTCCCCGGGAGTTATCCGGCTCTTCTCTGACCGTAACTGTTAATGTGTTTGAAGTCAAATTGTCGGCAGTCACGTGACCAGCAGCAGCAACTGTGACCTGCGACGGCAGAACAACTTTATCCATGATTAATCAGTTGCATTCAAATGTGTATGATATCCTGGGCAGGGCTGGTTCTCTGGTGACAACTGCAGTTCTCTGACTTTCGACTCCTCCTTTTCGCCAAGCTCGAGTGCTCATATCCGGCCAGCAGATGGGCAAACTGCTTATGATTAATTTAATGCATTTAAAATTTAACTACAACTTCATTTCGCGTTATGGCGCCGGGCAACAAATCGTCGTGCGTTAATTAATTTTAATAACCATCTTTATTCCCACCTAACAGCTGGCCAAGTCACGCGTGTGTGCTGCCCTAACTGTGCCATCGTAAATGTTTAATGGCAAAACACTTAGTTGGCCAAAGTGGAGTGCTTTGGTAGTGCAACAAACGTACACCAACGTATTTAAGTGAAAAAAGAATTATACTTGTAAATGGCTGCATAAATAAAAATGTTTCTATCAAATGGCTTCCACCTAATTCGTAGGAAATTAATTTTGTTGTGCCCCAATTTAGCTTTAAAGATAATAGTTATGAATGGAACACTTACTCATTTTGAATAGTTATAAATATAAACTCAATTATGGATTACTTCACTTTCTTTATAACGGGTAGGCGTGTCACTCAGTTCACTTTCAGAAAATATATATTCACAGAAGTCACTTCCTGCTTCACAGATATGTCTACGCATAATCGTAACATACGACCATTCTTTGGCTTCATTTTTTGCACCACCCATAAGGGTAAGGAGCGAGTGGGTTTTGCTTTCTTAAAGGGGGTTTTCCTTTGTGGCCCCGTTCCGAGAATCGCTTTCCCTTTGAATTCATTTCTTTTGTGGCGGTAGGGCAGCAGTGTATTGTAAATAATCATTACATGTGTGCAGCAAATTTTAATTTTTTCGCAAAACTGCAAAACCCAAAGAGGGTGGCTTACACACTTACCATACCGCACCATACAATATACTCGGGCTCCCAACGCATTTTCCCCTTGAGGGCCGAGGGTTGACACTGAGTGCACGACATTCATTGTGCTTAATGAACACTCGCATCCATTACGCTTGCATTATGTATGTAATGTCATAAATAATCAACAAAAAACGTGCGCAACGAAAACCATAAAAAATTTGCCAATATTGCTTAAAATACCGGCAACAGATGCCTGGAATTCGCTATGCCAATGCCATGTGGTTTTCTATTTTTGCCAAATCATATTCTGTGTTGCGGTCTAAAATATGATCTAGAAAGAAGACCATCGTGACTTTCAGCTACTACAAAATTAAAAATAGTCTACTTATTATTATTATTTATTATTATTTATCAAATAAATAAAATAAAATAAAGTTTTTCAAACGGCAAAGTCATGTTTTTGTGTTGGGAAATTACAATTGACTACAAAAGATTCGAAGTAGTCATCTTCTGTAGTTTAAATGTCAAAACATTTGAAAACATTTACGTATTTAGTTGGAGTTTAGTACTTCAACATGATCACTAAATGGTGAATAAAAAAGCACCCCTTCAGTATGTTTTGTTTATTTGAACAAATGTGAGCTACAGATGCCGCTGAAATATAAAAAATGGATATGTATCTCATATATCAGCGCATTCTTCCGTTTTATTTTTCAAAGGGGTAACGCTCTCATCAGAGAGATTTCAATCGAGTGGTTCACCAACAACCCTTTTCACGCTGTTAACCAACTATCTGTGACCCTCACTTTTGTCACCCTCCGAGGACTCAGATGGTCTGGCTCTTACTCTGGCATACCTGCCGCGCTCGTAACCCGCCATTAATACTCATTAGTAGCCGAGGTTCGACGTGTGCCTTTATCAGCCATTTAGCCACTTTGTGTAATCCCAGGGAGCACAACAACCGCAACAAAATGCGTGTTTATTTGGGTGTGGGTTCGGTCTTGGGTTGTTTTTATTTTTCTACTTTTTGTCTATACTCTTAATAATATTAAAAAATACACCCAGGGGGACAACGATTCGGTTTGTTTGTTTGGTTAGTTTCGCTGATGTCGGTGCTGGTGGTATTGGTGGTGGTGGTGGTGGTGGTGGTGGCTTGATGTATCTGACCGTTTGCTGGGGCAGACGCATAAATTTCCTTTGTCTAAACCCCCAAGACAATTAGAGGCACGGCAGGGAAATGTCAGGGGCGGGAGGTTTGGTTTGGTTTGGTGTGAGTCGGTATTTCAGAGGTTCGTTGGGTAAGAAGTGCAAAAATCGTTTTATATCCATTGAGAAAGACAATATAACAAAACACATACAATGCCAGTGACATGCGACGTTCCACAAGTGATAAATGATGTCGCCCGTTACTTGCATTGGCTTTTTGAGTAGCAGGCGTCTCTTCACTTTGAGGCACGTTTATTTGCGCTGTAAAATGGCTTAGCATTTGCCTCCATTCTTTTTCCACATCACCGTCTGACTTCCGTTTCCTTAGTTTTTTTTTTTTTTTTTTTTTGTGTGTGTGCCGGGCAAAATGAATTGCATGGCTTGTTTACTGTCATGTTAGCCAAACGAGTTGACAAGCGCAACGGCATTTGATTAGGCCCGAGAAAAGGCTTGCCATCTAATACTAGTGGGAGCTACGCAGCAGATTGAAGTAGCTGTAGGCCCCACGCATAATCTGCAAAGGGAATGGTTTAAAATCGATGAATCCAGGCATACCGTATCCTTACGTCTATGAAGGTCCTTAGATTCAGTTCGACCAGCAGGGCGCGCATGTTCATCGGCCGCTGGGCGTGCATCATCACAAAGAGCAGCGTCCGCTGCAAAGGGACATCGAAGTTATACCATCCACAGGAAAAGTAGGCAAAAGACAATTTATCGTTCTGAAAAGGATTCGAAGGTAAATCGAGTTGTCTAAGCGAAAAGGAAGTAAACAAAAATCGTCTGGCAGGGAGATAAATAAATAAAACGACGAAAGATAGGCATAGATTTAGTAAATTCATACGGTTTCATGCGATATGTGTAACTACCTCTTTTTTGTGCAATGCAATCAAGTCTTACATAAAAGTAACCGATTATACGAAAGAAGTCTTATCTATCTGTTACAAATAATGCATGAATGATTTAACAAAAATGGTTCTTAAAACTAAATATTTAAAAATATACTCACACATTCAACAATTAAAGTGGCATGCCAATGATACATCCACAGTATGGCAGCCATCACAAAAATATATATACCTATAAAGAAGTAATCCATCTTGCTGGAGATCTGAGAAACCATTTTTCATAATTGTTTTTAAAAAATAATTTTGTGAGGTTTTAACTTACGCCGAGTGCCAATGCATAAAAGAGAAAGCACATGGAAATCGAAAAGATAATAAAATCTAGCATGACGGGCACGCGGATCAGATGCTGTATCTCGTGAACTAAATTCCGAATCCTTATATGCTCCTCTACGAAATCCCTAAAGAGTTGCTTTCTCCAATGCGATAGCTCGGTTGGCGATAGACGATCTATTATCAATCTCGGATTCAATCGTGTTATCTAATTCGAGGAATATAAGAAATACCAATAATTGTAACTATCCTGAGGGGCCAAGGATACTTACATCCATCTCCTCCACCCGCTTGTTGAGTATCTGCAGCCTGAGGTTTACGTACTTCATGAGGCAAGTGATAAAGGTATGCCACATGGGGATGGCCGTCATTCCAAGAGACAGAGCGTACCAGGCTCCAATATAGCCCACTACGAAGTTGTCACACACCTCTTTCAAGGGAAACAGTTGGAACATCAGGATGGGCTGTTCTTCCCCTCGCTGCACCGCCGAACTGTTAAACACCGATTTCGGTAAAAACACAGTCCTATAGATGCAGTCCAAATATGCCATCGATCCCGCAATGAACGAGGGTCCACACAGAGTCAAGGTAATGTTTCGCGTATACACCTGTGTGGCGGCCAGGAGCTCCATCTCCCGATCGTCAGCTTCGGAAATAAGGTTCTGGATATCCGCGTGGGCCACTCGCAAAAGTCCAATTACTCCTGCGTATGTAAAAGTTTAGATTTAGAAGAGTCGGCTAATTTGTAAAGGGAAAACTCAGATTGAGATAAAGGCAAATGTCTTAAAATATGTTTTTTTCGTATGACTAAGCATCTATCGATTATATAATCCTAAAACATATTAGATCGGGAAAGTGGTTTAGAAACAAAAATTAAACAAAATCAATAAGATTTGCCTTCATTTATGTTTTTCAAAAAAGATGACACTTTCGACTTTAGAGGTCGCCGCACGATTAAATTGATGGCCAATTGCTAGCGGCATATTTATTTTAAAATTGGGTAAAAGAGTAATGGGTTATATAGTTTTATTTAAGTTTTAGTTTTTAAACTTACTATCCCTTTGCACGATGGCATTCAGAGTGGCAATGGACATCGCAAAGTACTGGACAGCGGTGGCCCAGCTTGTGGCACCATCGTTAAGGTTTTCGTAGCCCCGAAAAACCCGGGCGAGCATCAGAGCGCAGCACATCCAGAGCGAAACCGTGAAAAATATGCAACGGACGAGGCTAAACCAAGGCCTCTTCTGGTCCGTGGATGCCACATACCCGTACAATCGAAAGCCACAAAGGTGGTTTCTAAAGATCGGATCGTCGAAGGTCTCCGGCGCGAGCAGTAGATCCTTAACTCTGAACATTATGACTGTTTGACTAGCAGCACTTTCGAGGGTCTTTTATAGGGCCATAGAGTCAGGTGTTTTGGTGCTAAGTGGGATAATTATCAAGGGTTCCGGACGAGTGCCAATAATTGTCAAACAATTGTCACTGTTTACTGATTTACCGACAGGTGCTGCAGTTCTGCATAGACGATTTGGCAGGGTGCAAAGTGTTTGCCCTCCGGCAGATGGCCTTCAAATATTGTTGGCAATGTTGGCAAGTTTAAATTTGATTTGCATGTTACGCTCTCCGGCATCCAAAACTTTGTCCACATCCAGGAGCTGTAATGTCAAACGTAATGTTTAGGCAGCGTTGCATGCGGGTGAAATTGTACTATAGTGAAATGGAACTTTTTCCCAACTTGTCCTGCTCACTTTCCGACAGTGTCCTTTTCCGGCAGCCAGGCCAGATGGTAATCAGGTAATGGAAAACGAATAAATGGGGTACTGAGAGCCATTCCTCCAGGCTTTAATAAAATTAATTTTTGATCTCTGTTCGTCGGATCGAATTCCAGAAAGGAGCAAAACCCCAGGCAGCCAGGTGAACCAAATGAGGTCCGGGGTCAATCAAGTGGTCAGATTGCGTTGCCAACTATAGACTATCGACCCACGCAACCGCACATGGGGGCCAAAGGTCCTTCCGGCAAGGGCATTCAAGGAAATCAAATGCGAGGACCCGAGGCGGGAGTCGGAAATCGGAGAATCTCGATTCGTTTTTGCATGTGACAATCATATGCAGGAGCTGAGTAATTCGCCAATATATACATGGGGGCATTGGGGCATGGGGGCATGGGCATCATCGGATGTTGTATCTGTGGAGCGGAGCGTGTGTGGCACGAGTGTGTCGTCTATTTCACAATTTGCATTTAATATCCGTGTGTGAATAATTTACAAATGCAATAAACGTAAATGCGTTGGAGGGAACGCACTCAGACATGACTGGGTGCGAACCGAACCCAGTCCAGCACCGAATCCGGCATGGAAGTGCTTCACAAGCTCCAAGCTGCAAGCTTCAAGCTTTGGGAAAATGTCAGGCAATGGAGATGGAGCTGGAGGGGTTTTTGGGTGGAAAACTCACAGCACGCATATTTGTATGTTGCATGTTTGCAACTGTCTCTCTGATGTTTGTGTTTGCAAATGTGTAAATGCATTCGCAGCTCTCCGTATTTGTCTGTCTGCTGGCGTGAAATTTGCTGTAAGCAATAAGCCTGTGAGGATATTGAAAGTCACTCGTTTCTGGTATTTACTTATGCGTTTGTTTCATGCTCGGTTACCAAAGTGCAAGAGGAAGAGGAAGGATTCGGAGGAGTATCTGTCTGTATTGGCTTGGTTTGGCATTACTTGGCTTGGCGCTTTTCACGCCACATTTGCCGGGGCAGAGTAATCGGATATTAGCTCGCCTTGCTTATTGTTATGGCATATTTATTGGCAGTCGGAATTGCACACGATGCTGCGTTCAGTTTTGTGGTTAACTTGCAGCTTTAACTGCCCCATAACTAAAAGGGAATCCCCATCAGGAGTTCGTGTGGTCTGACTCCATCTCCACTGACATCTTTGTGGGTTTTGTGGCTTCCGTTTCGAAATGGTATTTCCATATTTACTACGATTGCGGTTCATTTACAAGGCTAAAAGGTCAGCTCGGAAGCGGTGGCAAATTGTCATTTAACCCTTCCTTATTGATAACTTGTAATAGGGCAGTTGTTTTTAATTTAGCACGTTTTGAGCCTCCTTTTATTGGTATCTACTGTACACATGTTTTACAATGGCTTTCGCTTCCCAGGATTTAAAGAGTATAATACATCATCGAAATTATATTGCTTTGCCATTAAGTTCGCAGCAAATCTTTCAAACTTTGGTGAAGAACTTCAAACTATGCAACTTTGCCGCTTGTTGTTGGCCATGAAATATAGCCATATTTAACCTTAAATAAAGTCTTTCAAAACTCCATAGATTTAAAGAACGGGCGGAGTTTACTTGGGCGTTGGGCGCCAACGAGCCACTAAATTGTTTACACGCAATTTCATCAAAACAATAAATCATGCAGTTGAATCGGCACAACAAAGGCGGCGACAACGACGACGTCCGCTTTCCCGCTTTTCCGCTTTCCTTCCAGACGACGTGACGTCAAGTTGACATTTGGTGAAAATCAAATCAAAAGCATTTTTCCGCACAACGGAAGTGGCGCAAGTAGCAAGTCAAACTTGGCAAACACACATTTATAACTGGGGGGTTAAAGTGGGACCGCGACCCACAAGCATAGAAATCCTTAACATGCTCCATTGTACACACAAAGGTCCTATATGGAGCATAAGTATATATTTGCGCTGACTGCCTGACGGCCAGGTCATCAATCGTGCGGCTGAAAGAAGAGGGAGCAGCCCAGGCAGCTTCACTTGCGCCATTTTATTTAATTTATAAGTATAACATTTAATATTAATTATACGCCACGTAAGCTCATTGCGCACGCCGCTGAAAAGCCAGGCCCTTAAATATGTACGAATGGGTGTGCGATGTGTGTGTGTTCTGTGTGTGTGTGGCTGAGGGGCCACAGTTTTTTATTTCGCTCATTAACTATGCATGTTTGTTGGCACTGCAATGGCCACAATGGTCAACATCGGTGGGCGACCAAAAGGGGCATGGCAATGGACGAAAGGGCTGGAGCTCAAACAGGAACAGCGGAAAATTCTCATTTCAACCCTTTTCTACTTTTTCCTTGGCAATGCGCAAGAAAAAGCAAAAACAAGCGTGAGATTGCAGTATATTTGGGTGATAGGTTGAAAGCGGTACACCCTTTGTTGGAGTTTCCTTTGTTATTTGCAATATTTGACGAGATTTTTTGGGAAATACATATACAATGCACAAAACTGTGAAAGGAAAAGAAATTTCTACCATTTCTTAACCTTATTTAACCTTTAAGTTATCTGGTACGATACAAGTTATTGTAAAACTAAAATTTTTTCTTTTTAATAACTGAAAAGTGGAAAAACTTTGATATTATACTGTCTATATACTTATACATCCACTCTAATGTATTGCTTCGATCTTTAGTTGCACCTGTGTTCAAACTAAAAGAATTTTAATGAAGCCTTGGGACCCACTATCAGATATAGAGCATTCCCACAAATGAGAGAGCGAGCGCGAAGCGTCCAAGTAAAAGTCCATAATGTTTAAATTGTGGTTCTCTACAAAAGCGAAAAATCAGCACAGAGAGTTTTTATTTGCATTAAGAAATTATAATTATGGCAGCTGCTGCCCCTCCTCCACCCACTTGTCCCCTCGCCTATACCAGCGTGTTCCCACCGCTTTTGGGGTTACTTTTGCCCTTTGCCGTAGTTTGTTGGCTTGTGTCTGACGGGTCTGCTGGTGCCTGGTTGCCTGTTTCCCAGTTTCCCTGTTTCCCTGGCTCTTCGGGTTCTTCTGGTTCTCCGAACACCCTGGCTGCGTGGGGTGCACACTTTTTTAATTGAAAAGTGCAAAATAATGTTAAAGAAAAGTAAAAAGTAGTCGTGGCACAAAGTATACGCCAAGTATCCCGACCCCGTTCTTGCCCCTGCCCCATCCCCATCCCCGTCCCCAGCCATTTGGAATCCCGAGAGGCACGCCATCGTTTGTTTGTACTTGTGTCGGTAGCGAGCATTGTGAGCGAATGAATGCAGTTTGTGCTGCCTCAGTTTTTATCCTTTTTATTTCATTTTGCCCCCGGGCTCGGAATGCGGGGGGGCTGGTTTGCGTGTCCCGCTTCGAGGAGCGTTTCGAGGCATAAATTGCGGCCAGAAGCGAGCGTGAGGATAGCTTGTTTCTTCCCGGTAGCTAAAAAATACTTGGGGGTTTATATTGCGAAAGTTTGGCGTACCTCCGCTAAGGGTGGATTAATCCTAAGGATACAGTGGTCAGCAGCGAAATCTTACAAGTTTCAATCAGAAAGTCAGTTTGCTGGTTTTAATGAAAAGCTGAAAAAATTTTAGATTTTAGCCCTATTTTACCGACAAGTACGATAAAACAGGTCCTAAAGTAAAAATTTGACTGTTTAAATGTACATTTTAAGTTTAATTTAATTTTTTGAAATAAATAAAATGCCTGGACCAACATTTTAATATTGCATTACGTAGATAAATGAATATTTGCTACTTTTATATACCATTTCTTATGATCCTTTTATTATGCCGACTATATTAATGGCTTGGAAAAATTCATAGCTAAAAGCTCAAGAACTCGTAGTTTAGTTTACAGAGTAACAGACGGACTCGATTTCGAAAGCAGAATATCCATTTAAATAAATTAGTTCACCCAAATCACTGGCCATTGAAGTGCAAGTGCAACCATTGATGGGCAATCTTGAGATATTTCCTGTGGGTAATCAGCTTATATAATAAGTTGCCTTTACACACTCTGTCAGTTATCTAATTTACAGCGGCGGGGAATCAACACTTTGTAAAGCTGCCATAACAAGCGTTAAGTGGATGAAAGCCAGCTTCCATTTATCGGTAATTGCGTCGCTCGCTGCGATTGTCGGGGCGTTCCATCGAAATGCATACAATTTGCGCTACTTATGCTAAAATCGCAGCTGCATTCCAGCAGCCCAGCAGCCATGGAGTCATGGAGTTTTGGAGCCATCATCGAGCACCTGGCTTGCTTCGAACCCAGTGCCCAGAGAAGAGTTTGCCATCTTCAATCGGCGGCAAAGGCCCAATGAAGCATGTAATTCGCCCAGCACTAGAGCGCTACAAGTAATTCCAAATTGATGGCGCGAAAATTACGACAAGCGCTTTGAGCCACAGTTAAGAAGCCAGCCAGCGCGAAGAACCGTTAGAAGGCTAAAGCTAAAGCCAGATCTAGCTCGAGCTCCAGCTCCAGATACAGTCAACTGTGAAATGCAACTTACTGGCGAAATTGTAGCATGCTGCATTTTATTTCAGGCCCCGCGGAGTTAATTGTGTGCGCCATCGACGACGGGCGAGATTGGCGTAATGGGCGCCAAGGTGTGTGAGTGTGAGTGTGTGTGTGTGTGAGTGTGTTTGTGTGTGGCGCTTGCTAGACGGTTTAGTTCGCAAATTGGCCTACAAACTTGTCACCATTTATCTCACTCAGTGTCAGCGGCATTTTGAGAAGGCGGCCACGAAGAACCCATATCCGCATATAAGCAAACTTATTTGCAAAACTTTGCCAGTCTTCGCTGCCATAAAATGCGTGTCGAGAACACAGAATGACACTTAAGCGGTACGAGTCCTGAGCCCCTGTAAATATCGAATATATGCCGGGGCAAACACTCGCCGGCACACTCAATCAGGTATCATTTAGGAGGCAACCATCAATCTTGGCATCATCCTCCCTTTCCCATTCCGAATCCGAATCCGACTTTATCTCGAGTGACATGCAGACGAACGCATAGATACTCGCTGGCGGCGCAGGCAAATGTATTCGGCAATGTTTGCCATTGTTTGGCCAACAATAACAATCGATGTCACCAGCAGGAGCATCACAAGCAGCCCCAAAAGAGCCCAAAAAACTAAACCGAAAGCGGGAACACTTGAGAGAAATCTCCCTTAAGTAATGCATACTTTTGGGCGCCAGTGGAAATCGCTATAGCAACACCATCATCTCACCGCTCATAATGAAAATGATGATGACGAAATGGCATGGCGGTTGACTGTCTAAAGAAAAATGAAAGTGTTGTATACACACTTTTGGAATAAGGTGTGATGTTCGACATGGCCATCAATCTGTCAGTTGCACTCACTTTTTTCCCCCGGGTTTCGTTGAGAGAAGTAAAATCGTTTCCCACTATAAAGTTTAAACTCCAGAAAAAATGTATAATTCAATGCAAACAAAAAAATACTATATGATAAAATGATAGACGTGACTAAATTATTAATCATATTTGCCAATGATAAAACTAAATCTGCAGTTATTTTGAAAATAATGCATTTTTGAATGATATACTTAGCATTTAAAACTTAAGTCTTCTGACATAAAGTGTTCTATTTATGATTAATAAATTTATTATTTTTAAATTTATTTTAAAGTATTTATTTGTAAATGTAAATGCTCACATATCCAGTTGATTGGTTGACTTTAATATTATATTTACTTCTCATTTACGAGACCCCCTTTAAAAAGTTTTTAAGCCCAGAGCATTGACACTGACTCTGGACATTTTGCATGGGTCACGCCCATGGAAACGTGCAGGACCTCCAGAAATTTGTGTGCGCTAAGCTCCCACAAGCATTCGAATTAACCCTTTGAGGTCGGTGGGCATTGACATTGCACAGCTAGGGGCTGGCACACCATCAACGCCATCCTTTCGGTTCGGCACGCGCTTTTGTGCGAAAATATGCAATTGAAATGTTAAATAAATAAAGGCGTAAATACTTGAAGGGTAAGCCAACAGAGCAACAAGAAGTGTGCACATTCAAGCGCTGTTGGATCCGGCAGATACACAAAAGTGCAAATACATAAGGGGAGTACACAGCCCGTTATGCATTCCATAACTTTGCAGTCGTCGGCAGACGTTGACGTTGAAACGAATGAATGAAAATATGCAGGCAACGTGATTCCGCCACAGCTAACGGGCCACCCACTCCCAATTGCCACTCCCACTTTCACCGCCCAGCAACCCATCAACCCACCGCCCACTACCCCATTTTGAATCCTCGACCTCGACGGCAACGCCATATTGTTTGCGCACCATTGGGAAACGTTACCGTTAGCCATCGCCATTGCCATCGCCATCAGCATCCGTTACCTTCTTCACAGTTACCTGTTACACCTTAAGAATCGTAACTCCAATTTTGAAAAAACATTTTTGGAAACACGCCTAAATTCAAAGGATCCGCCGGATAAGACTTTAATGTTCGAACAAACATAACTTCACGTTAAAACAAATAAATTTTGTTAATAAAAATAAATATGTAAATAAAACTTCGTCTAATTTAGCAATCTTCAATAAAAGGTAAAATATGCAAGGTAAATCTATGATTCTTCATAATATTATAATTGAAATTTTAGAATTTCCAATAAAAGAAGGTAATTTTCTTAAAAATCCCCTTTAGATTATTTCACTTGTCTTATCCATTTAGCTCCAGAAAATACTTGTAAGTTGATTAAAAAAGCCTTAAATATTAATGAAATTATGCTTCCTTTTAATAACATTTATATAATAGGTTTTTAGTGGTCTTCAGGCTTTACCCACAGAAACAAACAACTTGATAATTATGAAATTTAAATAGAGCTAATAAAAAATAAAGTAAATAATTGTTCATGCCTTCAAGGGACTTCTTTACCCTGTGAAAGCAAAGATTATTTGAAAATAAAGTTGTTCACAACTTCATGGATAATTTCTTGAAGTGTATCTGTTACCTGCTCGGGAAGACCGGCAACAGCAAAAGCAACAGCACAGCAAAAGCGATGGTAACGGCAACATTCGTTTGCTGGTATTTTCTGTCGAGTTCAGCGTAAATTCATTCATTCCACTTGAATTTACAATTATGCGAAACTGTTGTTGAATGGGTTTTGACTTGGCTGATGCCGAGCTGGGATTGGATTGGACCGAAGTGGTGTTGGGTTTTCTCGGTTTATGCATATTTCCTGCTCTTGCCATTGACAGCGGCATCAGCAACTTGGCTGTTTAGCTTTTAATAAACTGCGGTTGGGCGGGCGACGTTGTCGTTGTCGGCGTCGGAAGGTGAAGTCGATGCGAAATCTGAATGTAAAGCGGCGCTCTGAAAATTGTCAACAGCAGCGGCAAGGTAGCTAGTGAAATGCGTGTTGCCGTGGCAACGTCTAACCCAGGGATCGTGCTCACTCAAATCCTTCTGGAATGTAATTAAGCTCATGGCTTTGGGTGTGAAACTGACGGTTCCATGGTGGGAGCTGTACACTCTCAAAAAAAAAATGTATATATTACTTTTATTTTACAACTTTATACTGCATTTTACATTGTAGACAAAAGAGACAAACTTAAGTTTACAAAGTTTTATTTTTTAAACATCGCCTAATCAAACAACTTATATTCTTTTCATATGTTTAACCCAACAACATATAGTTAAGCCAAATAAATCATAAAATAAAAATTACATTTCTCTTGTTGAAAGAAAATACTAAGTTGGGGATCTATTAAAACCCAGTAAGAAGTCAATTATAAATATTTTATGTGATGAAAAGAATCTGCGCTTATTTTCCAGATATCTTCTTATCCAGATAAGTTTTCGATAGGTTTCAAGAGCTCTTATCCCTTTCGCAAAGTTACTTTTTAGCAACAACTTTTTCCGGCCTAGGCCAAAATCCGGCAATGGCGGATGCAAACTTTTGCCATCCTGCACTTTCGGCTGGCAGCCAGTGCAATTCAATGTCATACCCTTGAAAAAAAGGGGTGCATAGAAGGCAAAGCGAAGGAAACCCGGTGGCCATAAAAAATCGGCTGGCTAAAATTCTGTTATTGAAAGTTCATCGATGAATGTGAAAGGAAAACATCCAGCTCCTTGCCTCCTGCGGCAGATGCCCTCGCTTGTTGGCTCCTGCTTGGCTTGCGGCGGCTTACAGCCCATTTCCTACTGCCTTTTCAACATGTTCGGCTCCTTTTTGTGCCCAAGGTCTACTAATTTCCTCGGCCATTCCTAACAGTCCAGACATCGTCCACGTCGTATCCTGTAGCCTGCTGCTTAGCCAACATTTGTATGTGGCCGATGCGTCGGCCGGTTGTTTGCATTTTATTTGTATTTCATTTTCAATTGACTGGCAGGCGAAGAGCCCGGAATTTCCTACCTGGAAACCCGGCCGGCCTTTGTGCAGTTCAGCCATTCATCAGAGTTATTTACTTTTTAACGAGTTGATTTCATTCAATTTGTTTGCCCAGGTTTCAGTGGCTATTACCGGAGCTGTCCGGTTTTCATCGTGAACCATGTACCGTGCTCCCTGCTCCGGACTTTCCTTTAAGCTGCAACTGAGCTCCGTTAAAGTCACCCACCCAGCTCCAACCCAGCATCCAGCAAAGCTCCCAATCTGGAGATTTTCCGATACCATCGAACTCCTCGCGTTGCGCAATTTTCGGGCTCTTGTTTTTCTTTTGTCCCTTTTCGCTTGCTGCGAGTGCTCCGTCAACTTTTCGGTGCCTTCGGCGCTATTCGGTTTCAATAAATATTTTCACAATGAAGAAATTAAAAATTCCTCGGAATACAATATGTAGAGCCAAAGCCTGCCCCCAAAATCGCTGAGAATCGGGCCACAGCGCTTCCAGCCCGCAGCGTCTATTTATATATGAAAACTTAGTTTGTCTTCGATAACAACAACAACATGGAGTTGGGCCATCGCAAAGAGTGTCCCGACCCTGACAATTCGATTGAAATTGTTGCCGGCGGCTATGATTTTATGAGTGGCTCTGTTTGCCTTTTCGCCAAAGCGGTTCGAAATAATTAAATTGCTGGCATTTCACAGATGCTTGCGAGAATATTTCCCAAATTAGCCACCGAAATGGCTATCGGGGTCAAAATGAAAGAAGACCATGTTTAAGCACTTTTGAAATAAAAAAGTTACTTTAGAGCTCAGACTAATCTATCTTAACTATCATTAATGCTGCATATAGCACATCTACAGGATCTAAAATTTGAATTGCAAATATGTTAGACTTTTTTAAAGATGTTTAATGCACCTTTGTACCATTTAATTTTAAAAAGTCTTATATCCAGTTCTGACCTTATATAAATACAAATTAAAGGCAATCCACGAAAGACTTCCAATATTTGGAGTCCACACAAATATTTTATAGTTGCACTTCTTTTAAGAATTAGTTTCCGATCAACCCACCGCCCACAGCCCCATTTTGAATCCTCGACCTCGACGGCAACGCCATATTGTTTGCGCGCCATTGGGAAACGTTACCGTTAGCCATCGCCATTGCCATCGCCATCAGCATCCGTTACCTTCTTCACAGTTACCTGTTACACCTTAAGAATCGTAGCTCCAATTTTGAAAAACATTTTTGGAAACACGCCTAAATTCAAAGGATCCGCCGGATAAGACTTTAATGTTCGAACAAACATAACTTCACGTTAAAACAAATAAATTTTGTTAATAAAAATAAATAAGTAAATAAAACTTCGTCTAATTTAGCAATCTTCAATAAAATGTAAAATATGCAAGGTTAATCTATGATTCTTCATAATATTATAATTACAATTTTGGAATTTCAAACTTTGTACCATTTAATTTTAAAAAGTCTGATATCCAGTTCTGACCTTATATAAATACAAATTAAAGGCAATCCACGAAAGACTTCCAATATTTGGAGTCCACACAAATATTTTATAGTTGCACTTCTTTTAAGAATTAGTTTCCGAATAGATATTTCTAGTAATGATAGAAGCCTTGCAAATTGGCACATTTCTTGAATTTATAATTCTGCTCCATATCTGCTGCTTGCCTTTATTGTTCTTAGATTTGTCTACCGATTGGTAGGACTATTGGCCGCCCTGGAAGCAAGCCAATATCTTGAACGCTGAGTCGCATGCATTTTCCCCCTTGACGTTGCTGCACCTTTCCAGGTTTTTCTCGATCTCAGCCTTTTGGTTGGTGCTGGCATAGTGGGCTTTGATCTTGTCGGTTAGGAGTTTGCCCGTGGAGTCCATGAAGCCGCTCTTGACCAATATACATTGGGTGGAGCACTTGACGTTGTCCTTCGCATCAGCGGGTTTTACTTTTCCCGATTGTAGGTCCGCCAGATCCTGTTCAGTGACTCCGTTCTCCTTCAAGCATTCACCAACCATATCCCCAGACGTCTGGGGATCCATAGTGGCATTCTGCGTGGGTAGAGGTTTATCCATTTTAGTGACTTACAAATTATAGCAAGTCCTAAGTCCTAACTCACCGACAGAATGCCTGTAAGGCAGCAGCTGAGCAGCAGAGTCAATGCCAGAGTAGCCCTCATTTTGCTTCGGTTTTTTGTTCACTAATCGCTCGCTAAAACTACATCGGTTTTTATAGTTCGAGCAGCACTTTGCGTGACTTTTGCATTTTGTCAATTCTTTTTGTCCCGCATATTGATTATCACAAACTTAGCAGAGACACATCGGTCACGCTGACTGACTAATTCCAAAAGTTAAAGCCAAGGTCGGCAACCTGTGGGTCGGGCTAATTACTGATTTGCAGGTCGTAAGCTTTCTTTATTGCTTAGGAAGTCGCTTGATGACGAAAAACTACTCTGAATATTAAGCAATGAATTCTCAGAAAGCTTTCAATGAACGCGAAGAGCTCAGGAAAACATTACAAATTTGTAGGAAATTGTTATAAACTGTTAAAAACAAATTACGATTTAAGTTATTTCCATAAGCTGATTTTTATGTATAATAATATACAAATATAAATTTAATAGTTTTTTAAAGTTTATTATTTTAGCTAGGCCTCGAGCAATAAACATTTATTAAAAAAATATTTGGTGACCATTTTTTTTTAATTATTAAATCATTTTTCAAATTAATTGATGAACAGATAGAAAATAAGATTAAAGGCCCTCTCAACACCTACTTTATTTTGCATAATTGTATTACTTTGATATTTTTCGGGATAATAAAATTTAAAAATACATATTTTTAATTACTTGGCAGAGCAGCAGAATGTCAGGCTGAAACAATCGCGTTTATTTATTGTATAATTACTGTTGCTATCTTCTTAATTATGCATAATTTGTTGTTCATTTTCGGATGAATATTATCGGAATGCATTTGTTTAAAATGTGACATAGCTATTAACGGATGAGTCTACTGAATAGTTTGCACCTTAATCCATAAAAATTTGTGATGAAATTGCGTTGATTAATTTGCACTTTCAACTGAGTGCACATTTTAATTGGAAAGAAGTTCACTGTACCAATGACGATTACATAATTCGGATATTTTGTAATTGCATTTGTATGGAATTACGGTAATTGGCTTTTTTGTGCAAGTGCTGCGGCTAATATTTTTATAATTCCGCTTAGTATGAATATTATTATGAATGTATAATATAGTTCAAATTATTTTTATGTGGTGCGCACATTTTCATTTAGTTTAATGCGATTTCAAACGCTAATTGAAATCCTTTTAGAGTAATTGCAAAAAATGTAATGGCCCTAAACGGGCTGGCAGAAAAGCGGAGGGCAAGGAGAAGCCATCTCATAGTGGTAATTAGAAAAACAAACTAATTTAGTAAATTACTATTTAGTGGCCCCTTTCGCATGGGCCAGCTGGCCACAGCTTCTACAGCCCACAAAGGTCATTTTCGGGCTTTGAAGTTGCGGGCTTTGAAATGCGCCAAAGGACATTCGAATAAATGGCATCCTTTGACTGTTTGTGTGTGTGTGTATTGTCGGTCGCTGTGTGTGTGTGTATCTGTGTGTATCCGTGTGTACACATTGCAATCGCTGTCGAAACATCAAAGCTATGCGAGTTTTCCAGTTGACTTCATCAGTAGATTGTGTGAAGTATGCCAAAAATGTGTTGGGAACGCTCGAACCGTTTTTCCATTTTACTCCGCCCGAGCGAGTAGTTGGCCAACCCGCCTTAAAGTTGCTCTTTAAGCCCGGTCGGAATGTCGGGCAAGTTATCCGGCACTCTCCGTCGGGCACGTGCAGCCAAACCGGAAGGAACACGCGCCCAAGTCCGGACTTTGAATTGCTAACGCGATTGCCCCCCCCCGATGGAATCCAGTGCGCATGGTAAAACAATATTGGCCAAGCTTTTAAAACACATTTTACATCTACTTTAGTGTAATTGACGCGTGGCCTTTGTGATATCGCCAAGTGGGAGGAAATTCGAGATCGAAAGCCCATCACAAAGTGGTCGATGCGCTGGCAGGCATGCCTTTCAATTAGTTTAACGCCCCCAGGGTATTAGCATTATTGCAAAAGAAACGAGCATCTTCTTACATTACAAATATTAAAGGCATTTAAATTTGAATATTTGAGTGAAAAAAATTAATGAAATTAAAGTACAAATAAAATGGGTCATAAGTCTAAGTTCATCCAGATTAGAACCTAATATTTTTTTCTAAAACATAAGGCCATTTGTACTGCTTTAAGTTTAAGCGGGTTGTTAATATTCTCTCTTCTATTTCATTATTTTTCAGAATTTTATTTTTAAGTTTTCAAATTATTTAAGCAACAAAATGATGTTTAGATTTTTATTTTAATTAACAACATAGACAACAGCTCACAATGAACATATCTTTTGTTCAGATTTGACTTTCTCTTCCTTGAAAATGAATTTTCCCTGGAGGAACGCTCCATTTCAGGAACCTACGCAAAACTGCGCAATCCAAATTACATAACTCACCTGGGAGAGGACGAACTGCCCACCCACCCACTTAACTGCTCCTTGGCTAAAGCCACAAATGCTGGCACAGGATAAATATAAAATGCAGCCAGGCATAAGGAGCCAGCACAGACCATTGACAGTCCGAGAGTGTGGCAAACTGAGAGACAAAAACGGGCAGAGTTATGATGTCGGGGGCTTCTCCCGATTTGTCCTGCTGTTTAAAATAGCAAACTAGACCAGGCCCGTAATATGTCCTCCGGCTTAGCGCTCATGTGTTGCCAATGCCGGCTATTGTCTGACTACGGCTTTACAACTCATAAACAGCAGACGGACCACGACCCACTCCTCGCTGGTAATAACAGTTTAAGCTCGGGGCTATGCCCGAAAATTGTCCACATCTCGTTGTTTAATTTTTTGTGTCGACCCCCCCATCGGCGGGTGTTTTGCTTTTTCCCTTCTTGATAACAAGAACAACATTTTTACATGTGCTAAAAAAACAGAAACGGCCAAAAGTCGGACCAGATGAAGATGGAGCTGGAGCCCCGGGCTCATCCCCAATGGGCTCTTCCAATTTTTGGCCTGGCTGCATGTGCGTTTATGACTTCATAATGGGCAGCCAGAGCTGGGTGGGATGTGGCTTCGGGGAGGCATCATCTCCATCTCCACCATCACCACCACCATGGATACACAACATGAATGCAGTGCATTGCGGGGGTGGTTACCCCACGATTCTGATCCTGATGCTGCTGCTCCTGTTATGGATTTGCGTAGGCGTGGCGTTAACATGCGACTAAGTCCTTTTATATCCCGGAGCATTCGCTTAGGCTTACGGCTCAGCCTCAGCCTCAGTTTTAGCTTCAGCGTCAGCATCAGCATCAGCTTCAGCAGCAGCTTCAGCAGCAGCTTCAGCCAGGGCTACATATCTGGGGCCTTAGACTATCATCAATTGCTGTCCCCATGGTGTAGTTAGGGCCATGGCCCAAAAACCCCGGCCCGGGCTTATATAGGCCAGCAGCAGAATTTAATGCCGACCTCTGGGAGCTATTGTGGCCAGCGCTCCAGCAACAGGAGCCACCATCTTGGCATGCAAGTTTTATGCTCATGTGTGCGCCGCCCTGTGTTTTATAAACAATTTTAAATTGCCGGCCCCCCTCCGAAAATGAGACTCTTTTGTAGGCAAATTGTTTTATATGTGCGTTGGCTGGTGCTCTGCACTTTATTGGCCAGATTGAAGGGCAGTCATGGGGGCTGCCGCATAACTTTGCATAATCGCAGCGAAACTCAGAAACTATGTGGCTAAATAATGCGCCACATTAACTTGCAGCCCCCAGGAACACTCACACTTTGTATATTGGGCATAAATCTCGGCAGGAGATGAATAAAACCCGAGATGATGCGGAAAAAATTAGAAATAAGCGCAAAATAATAAACCATCCAGCGCGCAAAAGTCTTACAAAATAATATAAATAGCAAAAAAGGAACAAAAAAGATGAACAAAACATAAACAAAGAGGCAAACAAACAGTCGTCGTAGCCGTGGATACGGCAATGCGCCATGTGGCACACATGCTGCACCACTCAACCACTCAGCCAGGCAGCCAGTAGTCACCTATCCCTGTCCCAAATCCCTGCTCCACCTTTGGAGGCACTTGCCAGACCGCATGATTTCATCTTTCGCTTTCGTGCAGACAACTTACGCGAGGCATCCACATCCACATCCACGGACCAGGGAATGTGAGAATACCCTTTTGTAAAGGGAAAGTGAACTGGAATATTTGATAATGTTTAGTCCTCGGAGTTGTAGAAAATGAAAGGTAAAATATAAATGAAACAAAACTTAAAGTAGTAGTAGTGTTGATTGCAATTGCAAGCTAGTTAAAATAACTTTTGTTAAGCCAAAATTAAGCTAAGTGTGTGTAAAGTGTAATTGTTTGTAAACAATCATATGAATATTTAAGTAACTTTGATACATTTTGAATAATTTTTATAACAATAAAGTATTGGTAAAAGGATATGGATTTTCATATCCATTAAATTGATTCCAAAGTGCTTATGGAATTATATTAAGGTGTTTTAAAGCAATTTTCTGCATCATTTTGCCAGAGAGTATTCCTGTTTCGTTGTTTAGCCCATTGGGAATACGAAATTCATTTTTTCATTAAATTCGCCTAAGCAAAATGCTAGCCCTGCCATAGAAAAGAGTATGGGAGAGATGATTTATGGAGCAGACTTCATAAAGTTCATAAATGTCGCGGCAAGCAGGCGGGTTGTGTGTGCGTGAGCAAGTGCCAGTGTGTGTGTGTGCGTGTATGTGAGACAGACACTACAACAACAAAAGCAACATTAGTAACCACATTCATGCATTTGACACTTTCACCTAGCTAAAAAAAAAGAAGGGAAGGAAAGCAGAGGCGGGGTCTCATTTTTGCGCATTTAATTAACTAAAATGCTATAAATATGATTTTAAATTAATTTACTTGCGTGAGTTATTAAATTACAAAATGCACGGCGTGTTCGCATTGGAGTGGCTAATGAAAAGTGAAGAGGGTGAGGCCTGATGGACGATGTTTGGCTTTGGGTGGCCGGCCTAGATGATGGCTGGCAAAATGCCATCTTGTGTTCCAGATTTCTAGATTTTGGCAAATTTATTTATGTTCTCTAAGGTCCAATGCTTTGCGCAATAATTTATATC